GCAGCCATTAAACCCTCATTAAACTCCCTTGAATTCAATTTGTCGTTCAATGAGCCCTGCCAAGTCCCAACTTGGAGGGCAAACTCTTATTCAATGGTTGGAGCAACAAATTTAGCCTCCGTCTCGAAAGTGGGTTGACTTTTTGACATTTTAGTTTTTTTAACTATTTTAGTCTGGGCTAAAAAGCTTAGTTTGAGAAGAGTTTTTTGGCTTTTTAACTTTTTTTGTGAGAGAATAGTGTAATGATTATAGGTTGAATGTGATGTTTTATTTTTTATGGCTAAAATAGTTAAAAAAGTCCGAAAAAATCCTCCCCAAACGGACTCTTAGGAATTAAATACAAAATAAGACATCAAAATATAAAGCTCTGGCTAACAAAATAGTCTTAAGAGTTGTCAATAAACATTATAAAATGTCAAATATTTATAATTTTAATATATTTTTTTTATATTTTAAAATATTTTTACACATTTTAATACATTTTTTATACAATAAGGCCCCGTTTGTTTCCAGAGATGGAATGGAGGGGATTGATAGTGAAGGGATTAATAGTGAACACATTTTAATACATTTTTTATACAATAATAATAGTTCAAAGAATTATTTTTAATATTTTTCAAAAAAATAAATATATACCTCACTAATAAATTTTATTTGTTGAAATATATTTTATGTGTGATATACCATGTTTGAAAGTTTTGAAAGTTAGGTCTCTAAAATCATGTAAACTGTTTTTGCTGTTTTCACCATCTTTTTCTTTCTTTCAAGGTGTATATGTCAGTCAAAGATCCCAAATCGCGCCAATGCCAACAAAAACCTTGTGCCCCCCCTACTCTTCCTCCTTTTGAGGCAAAGGCATGGTTCATATTTTTTTTATTTTATTTTTATCATATATGCTTGTCTTTTCCTTGGACCAAGGGCGTGTGCTTATTTGTAAGGTTACGTAAAATATCATTTAATTTGTTAAAATTGTATTGGTGTATATTAATTTGTACTAATTTAATTATTAATTACGATTTAAATTTTAAATTTTATAATTTATCTTTTAAATCATTCCACTCTGCTATAATTAATATATATATATATATATTTTAATATCTAATGAAATTTATTACAAATTAATAGTTATATATATAAAACATATTATGTAAAATTATTTTGTATTATATATATTAAAAATATTATACAAATTAGTGTTATATATTATGTAAATGTATGATAATTAGTTAGAATATTTTTCAATCAGTCAATCCGTCTAAATCCCAATTTGTCAATCTGTTAACTCGCCATTCAATTTATAATTTTACTCTTAAATCGTCCAAACCGCACCGCACACTCCTCTATTTATTTGTGTTGTACAAAAGGGCAAGATACTACTTTCTTCCCAAAAATATGATTTTGTCAAATTGTTCTCCATGCATTTTATGTTATTAATGCATTTTAATTGTACAATTTTACTGTTCAATATTTTATCATATCGAGCAATTAAAAATGCAATGGAAACAAGAATTTACAGAAACCACCCTTTGTTAAGAGCCAAAAACCCATTTATCCATCCGGAGATTAATCATTCAAATAACCAATCCAATTGTTACTTTTAAGGATAAATTACAATTACACTCTTCAGGTTTCCTTCAAATATAAATGACGCAGTGGAATACACAGGGACTAGATATCATTTTAGTAGACGAAAGAGGCTCTCAAATCCACAAGAAAAATAGAACCTGAAATCTACAAGGAATAAAAAATATCTTAATATTATTGATTGAATGAATAAAAGTTGAATAAAAGCTGTCTTTACTATAAGACTTACATAGTTATTTATAATAAACTAAACCTAATACTTGTAAGAAAAGTAATTTTAAAATAAATTAAGAAACTTAAATCAATACAAATTAGGAAACCTAAGAGAATAAGAAACTAAAATTCTAAATTATTTAAAATCCTAGTCAAAATCTAATTCTAAAATAATAAAATTAAGAAACTTAAAATTTCTAAAACATTTATATTAAATTACAAGAATCCTAATAAAATAATATATCAAAAATATTAAAACTAAAAATATAAAAATTCTTAAAATCTTGTCCTACATCAGATTCATTTTCTTTGAAAGAACTCGTCCTCGAGTTCATATTAAAGATTTGTCATCTTCCATGCCAAATAAAGAGATATTTTGAATGTTTCAGTTACTTACCCCTCTTCCAAAAGTTATATATAGAAAAGTTTTCTTTTTAAAGTTCTTCCCTACTTTACTTTGTGTAGAACTTGAATGCTCTCTTGATGTTGCATCATCTTAGATTCAATTGATCATTTAATTATCAACCTTGGAATATCAAATGTAGCATCAACCAATTTCTTTGTTCACACGGCGGTTGTATTATCTCTTCTTCTATTTTCTCTTTGTTACTGGGCTCAATCAGATCTCCTCCTTCTTCAATATTTTTATGACTTGTTTGTAAAACTTTCTTCCCAATATTCAAATAAACATGTGTTGATGCATTATCAACACTCGAAAAAGACTTTGTATCTTCTTCATTAATTTTACAAACAATCTCACCACAAATAATATTTGGATTTGAATTCTTTTCTTTCGCAACTACAATTTCATTGTAAATTTTTACCGACTCCATGGAAGTATCTTGATTTGTATATGACAATATATCTTCATAATCATGAAAGTAAAATTTTGATGCTAAAAACTTTTTCATTGTTAACCATAAATGAATTTTGTCTTTACCTTTGCAAACTCGATAATCTTGTAATCCATTCCACCACTTCAATGCAATTTTATCAAATTTGTAGGATGCGAATATAACCTTCTTTTCATGAGAAATCTTCATGAATTCAAAAAAAATTTCAAGATCAAGCAACCAATCAAGAAAATCTTCTTTTTGAAACTTACTTGAACCGTTAAAATATGAAATTTCTGCAAAATAACGTAAACTAACAGGTTGGCCTCAGGTGAATCCTCCAGCGCAATTACTGTCAACTGTTGGTTGCCTCTGGTTGACGATTAGTCTCAAATCAGCAAGTAAATTACAAATCTCATTGCGAAGTTCGTGCACCTCTAGCCGATATTCCTCAATCGCATCCCATATGGCTTCCACCCTATGATCAACGTCAATAGGGATTGTGTGTTCTCCATTGTCTTGTGTCATTGAGCTAGGCGAATCCATGCTCTAATACTACTTGACGCAGCGGAATACATAGGGATTAGATATCGTTCTAGTAGACGAAAGGGCTTTCGAATCCACGAGAAAAATAGAACATTGAATCCACAATGAATAAAAAATATCTTAATATTATTGATTGAATGAATAAAAGTTGAATAAAAGTTGTCTTTACTGTGAGACTTACATAGCTATTTATAATAAACTAAATCTAATACTTGTAGGAAAAGTAATTCTAAAATAAATTAAGAAAATTAAATCAACACAAATTAGGAAACTTATGAGAATAGAAAACTAAAATTCTAAATTATTTAAAATCCTAGTCAAAATCTAATTATAAAATAATAAAATTAAGAAACCTAATAATTCTAAAATATTTATACTAAATTACAAGAATCCTAATAAAATAATATATCAAAAATATTAAAATTAAAAATATAAAAATTCTTAAAATCTTGTCCTACATCAATAAATTACTTTATATGGTTCTGAAAATTACACTACACCCCCTGAGGTTTCAAATTTCAAAACAAATAGCCCCTTTTATCAATTAATTATCAAGTCGATTAACAGTTTTTAATAATGTTAAACATTTATTTTAATTAATAATTCAAATAATTTTATTATTGTATAGGAGAACTGTTAAAATTTAATTTTTTAATTAATTCTATTAAATAAAAAATTATAACAAAAGAATATTTATAATTTTTCAAATCACAAGAAGTAATACGTATTTTAAACAAATATTAAGGAGTATATTTATAATTGGGTTCAGCTTGTCTCAAGTTGAGATCAAGACTGGACCTGTCCAGTTCGGCCCATAGGAGCCATTTTTGGCCCGTTTTGATAATCCGAACCGTTCAATGTGTAGAACTCGTCGAGTATTACATGTCTGTAAAAAATCACGTTGATCTGATATCAATAGCTATGTGATCAAATCAGTTTTGTATAAAAAAAAATGGACGGTGAAACAATTAACGGTTAATAAAAAACTGTTTTGTTCACATACCTATCGCTATCCGATCAACATAATTTTTTACAGGGATATAGCACTCGACAAGTTCTACACATTGAACGGTTCGAATTATCAAAACGGGACCCGTTGTGGGCCCCTACGGGCCCAATAATATGGTCCAGTCCGAACTTAGACTGGACCAAAGCCACTGCCTTTATAATTTATCCTACTTCTTAAAATTATTTCTATGTTTGAAACATTTTCAAAATGTAAAAACAAACATTCATTAGCGGGAAGAGTAGTGAGCAGTATAGTCCAATGGTGAGTCTTAGGATTGATCTTCTATAGCTTTGAGAGAAATTATTCATTGCAGCATTGTTTCACACGGTTCATATTTGGACAAATATCCAACTATCTTCTCAAAGGAGACAAACAAGTAATAAAACTCACTATTTTACAAGTAATAAAACTCACTATTTTAACCAATAAAACTCAAGTTGGGACACTATCTAAATTCGCCATGGGGCAATGAATAATTTCTCGTAGCTTTGGACTTACAGCCATTATTACCCACGTCATGACTCAATAGGGCGATTTTAAATGGTTATCAGAAGAGAAAGCTCCTCATTCAACTTCCTTCTTTTGCCTTTCCATTCATATGCTAAGAACCATGAGGAGATCACAGAGGCTCCTGTTGTCAACTCTTTCCACAAAATGAAATGTAAATAATACTTATTCATATCGTTTCCGTGAAATTTCACTTTTTAAGTTTCTATAATTTTATTTTGATCAATTATATTATAATAACCCTACACTTTTAGTTTGCCTCAAAATACATCAGAAATGCAACATTGTGGCTTCTACAGCAAACGGAAAGACAAATTGTGAAATTGAAATAGATATCAAGTAGAATGAAAAAACAAAATTGCATATTCATTGTACATGTTGATAGACCAAAAACATACAAACTCTACAATGGTGAACAATGAACAAAAATGAATTATGAACTCCCCACAGAACCTTCAAAACAAGGATTTGGAGGTAAATTAGGGATAAAGCTTAATAAAATTAACTATAATTACAAGTGCTAACATATCTGTTCATATCTCCATCGCCAGAGCATGATTTACAGCTCTCGCTTGCAGATTCGAAACAACCATTCAAAAAGTCGCGAATTGGTATAAACAAATAGAGGATCAATTTGGAACACAAACTTGTATAGGCTTACTGGAAAACTTTGGCGATAAGTAGGCTGTGAAATTTCACATTATGATCCTTCCACAGCGAAACCAATTGATCGAAATTGAAATCCTTTAGCATATACAGGAGAGTGAAGAAAAGGTACATCAAGAACCCCATTTCACTTTCTTTTTCACCATCTTCGAACCCAAAAGCTCTTCATTCCCATCATCCGCAAAGGGTACCAAGTTTTCATTGAAGTGTTCTTATAAGTTTGCACTTGGAAATGAAGATGGTAGCAGTGTAGTGTAGACTACACAGCTTCAAGAGCTCAGCTGCCCGCTGCTTCAACACTGCGTTGCAACCGCTCTGAATCACAAGAAGGAGCTTCGCAGCCACGCCTGCATCGACTGCAATTGGCGCATATTCTTCAGGGGCGAGCGCACAGATCGCCCACAAGATCGACAACGCCAATTGAGTGCAATTCTCCGAAACCTTCATTAACAATTTCACCATATTAGCAATGGTTTTGGGACAATCCTTCAAAGCCAATCTTCCCTCTGGAAGATTTGACAGAGCTTCAAGAATGTAAAGTGCTAATTCTAAACACTCTGCATTCAAATTGGGCAAGAGCTCAACAAGCTGAGGAACTCCCCCAATGCTCACAATCGAATTCGCCACGCCTTCGTGTGAAACGACCATCTTGAGCAATCTAAGTCCAGCCAAAACTCCATTGACGTGCCTCTTATCCTTCACCAATCTCAACAACCCCACCAAAAGGCTCAAACTCGACACAATTTCCGACTCGAAATCCTTCCCCACCATCAACATTTCGATCAATTTCGTGCAATTGATCTTCGTCTCAATTGACCCTTCATTCAACATGTCAACCATTAACGATACCTTCGCAGGTTGCATCAAATTGGTTATCGACTCCGAATTGAGATCGAAATTCACAAGAATCCCAATAGCCTCCGACCCAACAGCATGAGTTGTGAAACGACCCAACAACGAAGAAATTAGGCAAAACCCATTGTTCTCAGCCAGTGTTTTCTTGGCCGAATCGTGAGCAGAGACGATTTGCCTGAGCTCCTGGAGAGCTTGAACTCTAGCTTGACCTTTCACCTTCTTCAATGTCTCCAAAAGCTCCAAAGCTCTCCCCTGCACATCCCCTGATCTCTTCTTCATCGCCAAGTACTTTTGAGAGAACCAACTGTGAATTAGATGGTGAAGAGTCTTGTTTGGAGTCACTGAATCGTCCCAAAGATCTTGCATCGTTGTGGGGCAAATGAAGTGGCCTAAAGAGAACCATTTGAGAATGTTGGATCTCTCGTAGGTCTGCCCTGTGCAGAGAGTCACAGGATCTAGCATTGGCTCCAAAGAAATAGGGCAAATGAAGACCGATGGAACTTCGACTGAATCAAGCTCTTCAATCATCTTCTTCAGATCCAATTTCTCTCCGGCGGTGGCTCCGCCGCCCAAAATCCCATCTTTCACGGCGGCTTCCAGATCCAAAACAAGCCCACCACTGTCCCTCCTCCGACTACAAGGCTGATACATCGGCATTTTCACACACCCTTATTAGAGAGACTTGTCAAGATCTCTAAAAAAGAGAGAATTTAAAGATTACTCAGAACCAACCCAGAAACAAAAACTGGTCTTCTTCAAGACCCATCACATCCATGGGACAGGACACGAAGCGTGTGGTTGAAAAAAGAGAAGAAACAGTTTTTTCTCACTCTCTCTCATTGACTATTACAATCAAGAATGCACATCAAAGGGGACAACTTTTCTTCATGGACTCTGTTTTTGCTTTATTTTATCTCTTTTTTTGTGGTCAAAAGAGTCGTATTGTTCATTTTTATCATCATCACTCACTATCCGACACATGAAATCTTCTTCTCTAATACCAAAGCCCTCTCTCTCTCTCTCTCTCTCTCTCTCTCACTTCATCTTGAAGCTCAAAAGGAGTGAAATCATTCATTCACACACACGGATCAGGATAAATCGAAAAGAAAAGTGAGTTATAACCAAAAAGTGAGAGAAAGAAGAACTCATCACGATCCAACCCTCAAAGATGAACAGTGCAACCCCCAACGAAACAAATTTAGGGAGAAAATTTCATGGAATTGTGATAATAACCAAAAGATTCTAATAATTAAAGTACATGAAAGAATGGAGAAAGACTGGAAACCCAGAACCAACACCAGGAGAGAGAGAGAGAGAGAGAGAGAGAGAAGAAAAGCTATCCCCACTGTTGATGGACTCCTCCCTCTCCTTGCTTTGAAGCAGGTGCTCAAAAGAATATGCTACGAATTTAGGCTAAGTTTGGAAAGCGTAAAAAAAATTAAAAAATTATTTAAAAAGTTAAAAAAATTATCATTATTTATTAAAAATTAAAAATTACGGTCACATAATTCTTAATATTAATTTTTTTTACACATTAATTTATATAATTTTTTAATACACATTTTTTTATAAAAAATCAAAAATTAACTCAAATATTTATATTTTTTTTCTCAATTTTTTAGTTTAAAAAGACAAAAAATACACTTATTTAGAACACAAAAAACAATCCCTTACTCTTGTTTTGAAAAGTTGATTAATAATTAATTTTTTGATTTTTTAAAATCTTTTTTAAAAAAATATGAGAGCTGACAGTTATTTAAAATAGATTAAAAGTTAGAAAATAATTTTTAATTATTTTTGTAAAATAACCCTAAATGTATTTGTATATACTTAGAGGTTGAGCCTCTGTTTGGGAAGAGGCTTTTTGGATTTTTTTGGTTAAAATAGTCACAAAAGATAAAATAGATTATTTTACCCACAACAAATAAAATATCACATCCAACTTATAATCATTACACTCTTCTCTCACAAAAAAGGTTAAAAAAGTCAAAAAGTCATTCTCAAACCAAGCCTTTTAGCCCAGGCTAAAATAGAAAAAAAAGTCAAAAAGTCAACCTACTTTCCAAACGAAACTTGAATTGATAAAATATGGGATCTATATATAAAATAAATTTTAATCATTAATTTTTTTGATAAATTTTGAAATGATAAAGTTGAGTTTGTAATGTTGTCAAGTGTTGACAACGCTACATAATTAGAGTGTTTGGTTTTAATTTTTTTGATTTAATTTTTAAAAATTTAATTTTTAATTTTTTATATTTTTTTGTTTTTAGTTAATATTTTAAAAATTTTATGTAATTTTTTTTATTTTTGTAGATACACCTTACTTAAATGTATCTAAAAAGTAAAATATTTAAAAAAATTAAATAATACACAAAAATATAAAAATATATACTAAATTTTCATTTTTTATATTTTTGGTATTTAGTGAATTTTAAAAAAAAAATCACAAAAAATATATATTTTTAAGTATATTTATATAGGTGTGTTCAAAAATTAAAAAAAAATTTACTTAAAATAATTAAAAAATTCAATAAAAACAAAAAAAATAGGGAAAATAAAAAAACTTTAATTTTTTGAAAAGTGAATTCTAAAACCAAAACTAAGTAGCTTGTTTTCATTTTTCAGAAAACACTTTTCAGAAAATTCTACTTTCTTATTTTTCGTATTTTTTTTGTTTTTATTGAATTTTTTTAATATTTTAAGTAATTTTTTTTACTTTTTAAACACACCTAAGATAAATACACCTAAAAAGTAAAAAAATTGTAAAAAAATCTTTTAAAAATTCACTAAATACCAAAAATACAAAAAAAAAATACAAGAATTTAGTATATTTTTTTAAAATTTTTTCATAATTTTTTTACTTTTTACATACATCTAACTAAGGTGCATCTAAAAAAGTTTTAAAAAAAAGTTTAAAATTTAAAAAATATTCACTAAAAACAAAAGAATACGAAAACTAAAAAACTTAATCTAGAAAACTCTAACCAAACACACTGATTCAGTATTTTGTTTTTTTTGTTTTCAAAATAAGTTCAAAACAATAAAAAGAAAAATTATAAAAAAAAAAACAGATTTTACCTAACAAAATAAATTTTTAATTTTATCAAAATAAAATTTATATTTCTTTTTAATTTAAACTATCCACCTCTTTTCTTTTACTACCAATAAAAAAAATATTATAATAGACATTTTATGTCAAGTTAATGAGTAATATATATATATATATATAATTTTACTTAACAGAAATATGTCAATAGTTTATATTGAAATTAAATTAAAAATTAAGATTTAAATTGATAAAATTAAAAATTTTAAGATGTATTTTGTTACAAGTTAAATTCTATGGTTTTTTTTGTAGATTTATTTTCTATAAAAAAATATTTAACTGGAGCTACGGGCTACATCTAGGGATGGCAATTTGAACTCGGCCCGACGGGGACCCGACCCCCTGTCCCCGATACGAGCGGTTTTTTCCCGAAAAATACTCCCGACGGACCGGGGACGATATTTAAAATGAATCCCCGATCAGTTTCGGGCCGGGGACGAGGATAGCTATCACAGCCTTGAACCCGGCCCGCCTCCATCCCCGGTTCTCCCCGAAATGAAATTACCATTATACCCCTTTATTCATTCACATATATATCTCCTCTCCTATGTTTCTTCTCCGATCTGTCCCTCTCTCACTCACTTCTCTTTCCAGTGGCGACGGCGAGTGCAATCTCCTCTCCTTAGTGGCGACGGTGTCATCTCCTCCTCTGCGGCAGTACGCACACCCTCGCCTCATTCTCCTCCTCCTCCGTCCCCTCTTTCTCCTCCTCCTTCGTCCCCTCTTTCTCCTCCTCCTCCTCTATGCCACCGCCGAACCTTCATACTCCGGCTTCGGTTCCCACCACGACAGATCTGGGTAGATCTCAGTAGATCTCATCTCCTCTGCACCACCGCAGATCTTACATCTCACATGTATATAGATCAGATCCCATATTACATCTGAGTAGATCAGATCCCATATTATGTATATACATGTATGTAGATCTTATCTCCTCCGCGCCATTTATGTATATACATGAATGTGTGTGTGTCACTGTGTGTGTAATCTGTAATCTGTCTCCATATTATTATTAATTTTTTTTTTTTTTGGTTGATGATGTTGTCGTTGATGATGTTGTTGATGAAAATGACGTTGATGATTTGTTATTGAGAGAGAAAGCTAAACAGAGAAAGAGGGAGCTACGGGGATTTTTCGGGGTCGGGAAAACCCGATCCCCGTTGGGAGCGGGGCTGGAGGGCTGATGGGTTCCTCATCGGGGATCGGGGACGGGGAGTTTTGTAGCTTCGGGGATCGGGGATGGGGAGTGCGATCCCCGGCCCCTCCCCGCCCCACCCCGTCCCGCCCCGTCCCGTCCTGTTGCCATTTTTAACTACATCCAATAAGGCCTCTTTTGAAAAGATGATTAAAAATCATCTATCAACTTTTAACTTATTTTAAGTCAGTTATCGTCCTATTTTTTTTTATATATGTTTTTAAAAAGTAAACTGTTAATCAATTCTTCAAAATAACCTAGACTACACCCTTGGTACGTGTGCGCCAAGCGTGCATTGATGTCCGAAAGTCATCGAGATATCCGGTTTTTTCTTATTAGAATATTCCTTTTTCTTTCTTTTTGCTTTTTCTCGATTTAATAAAATAAAAAAATTATAAATAAACGTAACAATCATAAAATAATTACATTACAAATAAGATTTTTTTAATATAAATTTGACACAAGAAGAATTACCCTAAGCACATAAATAAATATATGTCAGACACATCGGAGAGTTACATTGTGCCATTTTAAGAATATAGTAAAAAGTCACATTTTTAGATAAAACGTTTAAAAACGTAAGTGTCAAAAACGCTAAAAAATTGGTTTGGTAAGTGTTAAAAATGTAGGTATAAAATTATAAATTAGGACCTGTGAAAAAAAAAATAAAAAAATAAAATTATTTTCACTCCATGATTCGCACTTAGTTTTCCATCACGATCAAAGTTCTTTGTTCTGATTTGGGGGGTGAGTATTACTTGTTTGAGTTTGAGGAGTTTTTAACTACTCATGGCACTATTGATCAATCTTCGTGTTCTGACACTCCTGCCCAAAATGGTCGAGCTGAGTGCAAACATTGCCACCTCCTTGATACTGCTCGCTCTTTGTTGCTCTCGTCTTTCGTCCTTTATATTTTTTGAGGAGAAGCTATGCTCACTGCTATATATTTTCTCAATCGAATGCCTACTCTTCTCTCAAGCTCATCTCCGTATGAGCGTCTTTTTGGTGTTACTCCCAATTATTCTCTTTTTCGTATTTTCGGTTATGCATGCTTTGTGCTCCTTCCTAAATAGGAGTGCTCTAAGCTTAGTTCTCGTTGTGTCCTATGTGTCTTTTTAGGATATAGCATTACTCAGAAAGGCTATCAGTGCTATGATCCTACCACCAAAAAGCTATGTGTCTAGGCATGTCACCTTTTTAGAAAAACTATCCTACTACACTATACCTTCCACCGCTGTCCCTATTACCAAGGATGAATTGGTTCACGTTGACCCATTTCCTCCTGATGTTTCTCCTGATGAGTTTGTTTCTGATCTTAAGGTCTCTACTTTGCCTCTTACTAGCACTTCTACTATCTTGCCAGGCACTTCCTCTTCCCGCTCCCGTTTCCCCTGCTCCTCTTCTTGTTTATCAGCGCCGCAAAGCACTTCGTAGCTCGCCTGTCTCTAGCTCTATTGTCTAGAGATGGCAATTTGAACTCGGCCCGATGGTGACCCGATCCCCCGACCCCGAATTGAGCGGTTTTTCCCCGAAAAATACTCCCGACGGGCTGGGGACGGTATTTAAAATTGAATCCCCGATCAGTTTCGGGCTGGGGACGGGGATAGCTATCACAGCCCTGAACCCGACCCGGCCCCATCCCTGGCCCCGCCACCGGTTCTCCCCGAAATGAAATTACCATCATACTCCTTTATTCATTCACATATATATCTCATCTCCTATGTTTCTCCTCCAATCTGTCCCTTTCTCACTCACTCTTCTCTTTACTCTCTCTCTCTCACTCACTCCTCTCCCCAGTGGCGACGGCGTCATCTCCTCTCCCCAGTGGCGATGACGTCATCTTCTCTCCCCAGTGGCGACGGCGAGTGCAATCTCCTTTCCCCAGTGGCGACGGCGTCATCTCCTTCTCTGCGGCAGTACGCACACCCTCGCCTCCTTCTCTTCCTCCTCCGTCCCCTCTTTTTCCTCCTCCTCCTCTGCACTACCGCCAAACCTTCATACTCCGGCTTTGGTTCCCACCACGACAGATCTGGGTA